CCCCCCCTCCTCCCCTCACTACATCATATCTGTTCACTTGTCTGAACAAGTTCAAGGAATTGTGATTTTTGTGTCTTCTCCTCCCCCTTTATTTGTTTGTGTGTTTATGTATTTATTTTTGGCTCCCACAAGTAAGTGAGAATGTGGTATTTCTCTTTCTGTGCCTGATTTGTTTCACTTAATATAATTTTCTCTAAGTCCATCCATGTTGTTGCAAAGGGTAGTATTTCATTCTGTGGGTAGTATGTCATTCAGTGAGCTTCTGAAGTATTTTTTCACATTACATTCATTTGAGGCCTTCTGCCCCTCCTGTGTAATGAGAGCAAAATCACCTGAGAAACTGTATAACCCTTAAATTTGATTTTTTTTTTTTTTTTGGTAAAATATTTTGGCTTTTACTACTAATATGTAATTTGCTAAATCAGTCTTTCAGGATAATATAATTTTTTGTGCTTCAGAATGTATGAGTAAGGTCTACCTGTATATCATAAAATTATACAAATGAATTACAAGCAATTAAATGTCAACTTTTAAAATTGTTTAAATATCAACTATAGATGGAAAAGTCTTCCTATACCCTCTTCAGATTACCCTGTACATTCTTTTGATGGACGAAAACGGATGATCTTGAGTACTATTTCATGGATGGGAGGAAAAAATCCATTTTTGGGGATTGCTTACATCGCTGTTGGATCCATCTCCTTCCTCCTGGGAGTTGTACTGCTAGTGATTAATCACAAATATAGAAACAGTAGTAATACTGCTGACATTACCATTTAATTTTATATTGTCAAAACAAATCTACTGCATGTGCATCAAGGCCAGTCCTATTCAACATAGCTTTTGAATGCTGATGTCTGGTTAGTATGTCATTTTGAAATTGACACATTTTTTTTTTAAACAGTCTTTTTCTTTTGCTTCTTCCCTAAGGATGACTTATGAAAATATATGACGGGTATAAAAAATTAACTGTATTGATCATATCAACACTGTAACTGTTGAAATGGCATTCTAATGTTTGCTTTTTATTGGGACAAGCCACATGATGCATAGAGCCTCTTTCATGTGAAATGTATCTACTGCTTAAAAGTTTATGCTGTGTTGATAATATTATATTGACATATGATGCTGTATATGTGTGCCTGTAGTGTAAAGAAAGGGTTTACACGATTGAGTGTAATGACTTGCTAACTTTTCAGGATTCAGAGTTACAGAAACATGAAGAAAGACCAAATCTAAATAAAACACTTCCATCATTTTCATGTGTCGTGTGTAAAGGCTTAAAGTACTATCTTTGTTGAGGTGGTTCATGTACTCAATTTATCCAGTACAGTGCTTTGTTAAACTTAGGTTGATTTCAAAGGACATGCTTACCTTGTCTGTCATAGGAATTAATCCTCATGTCTAAAGAGGTCAGGTAGATCTCAGGTAGGAGAATTTAAAATTCCTCTTTCAATTTGGTTAAAATGTTATATATAGTCAAGAACCTCAACTCACTTGAAATGTTTTTACATGTGATCATTTCCCTTGAAGCTTATGCTTCTTAAGGGAAGAAAGAGTACAGGTGAGATGGGAAAACTGCTTGGCAGGCCTTCATCTTCTGCCTCAACTGTAAATCAGATGTAAATGCTCAAAGGAGACTGTTTTCATTTGTGTGGTATTTAACATTCAGAAAATTACTTCAGCATTGGGAATACCTCAAGTTGTTTTTATTTTGCAGGTTAGTGTTTTGACTTAAGTGCTAATATTATATACCAGAAATTTTTGAAAACGGTAACCTTAATTTCCTCTGTATTTCATTAATTTTTGCATATAGGTCAAATATGGATGTGTATGCACATTCTCTTTAGTTTATGGTACCAATTGTTTTGGTTGGTTTTCTTAAGACATGGTTTAAAAAGATGTTCTGTAAGTTTCCTAATTAAATTCTGGGGTTTTGGAGTATGTACATGATAAATTATATATGGTTGAAGTTATTTTATTTTCCGCTAACTGGAATTATTTTAATATTCCTTATTGAATAAACATAGTAATTTGCTATGGAACTTATTCTTAAAGTGAATGTAAACTTATTTTTCCACATGCATGAAAATGAATGTATTAATCAGAGGTGGCTTAATTGCACTGAAATTGCTTTTTTTTTTTCTGAAATAACTCATGTTTGTGTAGAACAATGCTTATTCAGAATTTGTAATGATTTTTCAGTTATTTTAAATCAAGATCCAGGTAATGTATCAGTTTTGATTAATATATGCTTTTTTGAAAAACAGAAAACAATGTAATGGTTAATAGTAGAAATGTGCCACACTTTTAAATTTTGTATAACACATAAAATTCAGTTAAAGGAACCTGTAATTAATGATAACTTTTAACGGGTGAAAACATTACTTGCATGAGGTACTTGATGTATTGTTATCCTGAAATTTCTGAGTACATAGAGTGTTCTTTGTCTAAAAATATTGTTTTGTCTGTCCTTCAGAATGTTATTTATTCTGATAATTGTCCCTCTTGCACATGGCAGTTTATTTTGTAAATACATCATTGAGGAAGAGGGGTTTCTTCTAGTCTTTCCAGATTGAGTCTGTGCTGTTTAAGAACTATATCCTGCATCTCTTTTTCTAATTGGAGGACCAAGGGTGCTGCTAAAGAAAAGTTGAAGAGCCCTTCCAACACTTTCTCATCTGTGGAGAAGATGGAATCTTAAAATACATTTGGAGTTTTATCTATTTTACAAGTACATTGATGGCCTAAGTTCCTCCCTGTCTTCTGCCATTTGAGCTGTAAGGGATTCCTGTTGTAAATGTGAAGAATATAGAACATTCATATGTTCTCTGTGAAGCAGGGGGAGGGGGGGCATTTCTTTCTTACAGGCTTTTTGCTCATCTTTTGGAAACATTGATGTCATATTTATCTTTCAAAGAATCATTGCATTTTATGGCAACTAGGTTAAGTAGAAGGCATTGAAGAATGCATTAATTTGCAGGAAGCATTTTGACAATTTAAAAGTTTCCTAATTGGAGGAATTATTCAGTTAGTAAAAGCTAAGAAATTTCATTGAAATCATAAGGCATTTTAAGAATAAATTGGTAAAAATAATTGTGTACTACCTAATAATCATTCAATTAAGAGAAGAGTCAAATGAGATTTATTGGTTACTGACAGAGTTTATTTGTAACCTTGATTATATTAAAAGATAACATTGATTATATTAAAGGATAACGTTCTGTTAGTATGTTCTATATTAATAAAGATGAATAAAATTAATTTTGCTATGTTCAAGTGTCTTGCTAAAGTAACAATACCCCAGTATTGTTGCTAATGTTTAGCACTAAATTTTAACCCAGGGTGAGTCCAGGTTTTAACTTCTCCATGCCTAGATTTGACAGAGTGTCAAATTAATTACCATATTTGTTTAATTAATTATCATATTTGTATTTTAATCACTTGGACATTATTAACTGCAAGATTTATCTATATTATTCAGAAACATCCGTTCTTATCAGGAAGTGGTCAGATTGTCACCTGAGTTATAGACAGACTGGCTAAGTTTGGTTTTAGTTCAGGTGCTGGGGAATGTCTGGTAAAAAGAAAGAGAGGCAAGGATGTTGAAAATAACAAAGCCGGGTGCACAGGAAATGGAAAGCCTGACTAGTCAGGAGAAGCATCTGAGAGGTAGGTTTAATGAATGCTGTTCAGCCTGCTACCTCCTGTCTTCATGGAAACGTTGCCTTAGGATTATTGTATAGCACATCTTTGTTGGTTCAGTCGTTAAGTTTTGTTCTTCCTGAACATGGCTGTTTTGAGGGGAGGGTGGAGGGAGTAAGGCAGTGTTGCTGTTACAAGAATTTTGCTGCATAAGTATCTATTGTAGAGTTTGGATGACCTAGTAGTGTTTCAGAACCCCTTGTTAGCTCACACCATTCAGTAAACATAAAAATCATATTTTTCCTAATGTAATTTGAAATTTCAAATAAATACCTTGTTTAAAACCAAATTGGACCATCGTGACCTTATTTGCTTTTATGTATCTATAAAATGTATCAAAATAACATGTCCACAGTTGAAAGAAATCAAATAGTAAGTTCTAAAGGCTTTGTGATGAAAAACAGTAATTCTTACTGAACTTTTTTTTTTACTTCCAAGAGAAAATCATTTGGACTCCAAAAATTGTTTCTTCTGTTATCTCAGTATATCTAAATAATATGCCTATTCTACTATTGTTTCATTAAACACTTTTAGACATTATTATCTTCTTAATGTTACGTGATGATTTAGCTCTGTAATACACATATCTTGCCTTCCCCTATTATATAGTTACATCAAAGTATTTAGTAAATGCATTAGCTGTTGTTTAATTATGACTATATTAATATTGTATCTATAGAGCAAAGCAGTGTGCCATTACTACATTTTATTTTGCGTAATTTTATTTTTCCTGGAATTAATAATTTCCTCATTTTTAACACATAACTTTCTGTAAATCTATCTTAAAACTTTTTTAACTTATCAGGTCTGCCATCTTCCTAGTTTTGAAGGGCTTTTGTACCCCAATATCAGATAATGTACCTGCTTTTACTAGAGAGGTCTATTCTGCAGTTGTTCTTCTGTGACAACCTACTGGTTGCTCTCTTTGCCTGCTGTACAGTTATTATCTCATGATGTCTCTTTGTCACCCTGCTGTGTTGGATATCCTGTTTCCTAGTTTACTCTCTTGTTTACTGGAGAACTTTGTAAAACACGTAGCTTCCTAAGAAATGGTATATGAAAGGTAAGTTTTCTGAGTCCTTACATGTCTAAAATGTTCTTATTTCACCCTCACATTTCATTGATTGACACACAGTTTTAGGTTAGAAATAATTTTCCCTTAGTTTTGAAGGCATTGCTCCACTCTCTTCTAGCTTCCATTGTTGCTTTTGGGAAGTCTGATCCTATCTTAGTAAAATGTTGGACCTCCTAGATTGATGCTTAATTCTCTTCTTTTTCTCCATTTGTTTAGATACTATTGTCTCTGTTCTTTCTAGAAGTCTTCAATTTGATCTTTCAACATTATCTTCCTTCTATAGACTTTACAATGTATTTAAAAAATATTTTAGCTTCCGAGCTTCTTTCATTTCTATTTCTAAAATACTCCAGTCTGTCTTACTTAGTTCATAGATAGAATATCTTATTTTTCTGAGGATAGATATGGATGAGTATGTATTATCGCTTTTGTTTCCTACTCTGTTAACACCAAGATGTTTGTTGTTGCTATATTTCTTTTCTCTTGCTCATACAAGTGACTTTCTTTGTATTTCGGGTGTGTCTTGCCAATCCGTTATGTATGAGTAGACCCCAAAAGACTATCTGAAAGCTCTGTGTTTGTGGGCAGTGCTTGACAGCTTCACTAGCACAGTGTCACTCAGCGAATTATTTGTTACCTTGTTTGTGATAAAACCTTAGACAAGTAAAAATAGTTGGTAGGTCAGCATCCATAAGTAACCACATTTTGAGAAGACCTGCACTAGGGAATGATTGGTAGGGAGCCAATCCTCTGGCTATGGGCCTTTTCTCAGGGGCTTTTAGTTTCTCTAGGGAAGAATTCTCTAGTCTTTTGTGGAAAGGCATTTGGGGAAGGGTCTGTTTCTTACATTTAAAAAATTTTTAAATATTTTTAAAAGTTTATTAATATTTTTTACATTCTGTGATGTTGGGTAGCAGTTCGGTGGGGGGGACAGGGAAAAGGGGAAGGAAATAGGGTGGGAGGAGGAGGAAAGAGGAGGGGTGGAGTTGAGGCCTGTTGCACCCCCCTCATTCCTGCAGGGGAGACCAGAGGGCTTCCAGTGGTGGCTTGGTCATTGCTGGGCTGGGTGCAGATGTTTGGGGGGTTTGGCTTGCTGGCTGTCACTGGGCTGGTTGCAGGTGTGGGGGTGTGTGTGGCCAAGGTACTTGACCCCCCACTGCCCCAGCTTGGGAGAGCCCAGGACACTACCTGCGGTGGCTCAGTGGTCATTGCTGGGCTGGTTGGTGTTGGGGGACATGGTTGAGGCCCTCAGCCCTCCCCCCTCTGGCTTGGTAGCCCAGGGGACTTCCAGGTCCTTCTAGGTGTTATAGGTGTTCTTTGGTGATGTGAGACCTTTACTAGTTAATACCAAACTTTGTCTCTGGTCTGTGGGTATTTTTTCTTTCAGTTCTGTGTTGGATTATTTGCTGTTCCTATGACTTAAACTGCACTGGAACTAATTTGTTGTCATTTGCTTACTTCTAAAATGGGAGAACTTCCTATGGGGACCAGTACATGAGGTCTGTGGTTGAGCTAAATTGCTGCTTTGTTGTTGATTCCCCGGGGAAGGCTTTTTGTGCAGCTCAGATTTTAATGGTTGACTTTATAGGTACTTCCAGGTCTTGTGAGATCCAGTATACCTGGATTGTGTAGAAACTCTGGCCTGGGCCTGAGTCTTTTCAATGAATTGCACCCCCTGCAGTTCTGTATTCCTGGCCAGTCTCCACTGAATGGTCCTACACTGATTGGGGGGCATGTCAGCTGTCCTTGCTGTGCCCCAGTGTCTCCTGGTGGGTCCATCTCCCTGACTGCCACACTCCAAACACTGGTCCCTTGTGATGACTCACTGGCCTGAGTGACTCCTTTTATCAGTTGTTGTGCCTCCTTGCTCCTATGTGGGTCCACGGGAACCCTGTTAGTGGTCTTGCTGGCCTGAGGGCCACCAAGGCCCTCTTCTCCCCTGCTACCTCCAAGCAACTTCATGTGGAGGGCACAGCTATGGCTTTTGCCAGCTCCTGCTCCATGTGCTCAGCAGCTCCAGCCTTGAAGTGTCCGGGGCTCAAAATGGTCAGAGTGGTTCTTTCTTTCCCTCATTATGGCTTCTCCAGCATTCATGAACTCCATAGGTCTCTTCTCCTCTTCCCCTGAGATCTAGCAGCCCCAGGTTGGCTGTTGTTGATTTTTAATAGTTGTAAATGGTTGATTTGTGGGAGAGAGTGATGCTGGGGACTATCTATTCTGCCATCTTGACCAGAAGCCCTGTTTCTTACTGCTTTTCACTCTGCTTTTTCCTTGTCCTCCACCTCACCTCCTGATTTTCACTTCACACATATTTTCCTTTACCTGTCCCTCCTAATATCCCTTCCACAGAGTTGTCTTCCATTATTAATTTCTCCAGGTAAACATTCTCTGGTCTTGTACCTGTGGGAGACAGTAATGGAGGTGAGAGATCATATTTGTGTGAGTGAGAGGGGTAGGGCAGAGCTTGGGGATTTGACCATTCTGTTATATGCAATTTTCAACAAATCATTTTCAGGCCTGTTCCTCACTTCACTCTTTGCTGTAACTTTTTTTTTTTTTTTGTCTTTTTTTCCGTGTCCGGCAACGGATCGCAACCCTCAGTGTCGCCCCCGTACCGGACCGGGACCGGCAACGGGATCGCAACCCTCGGTGTTGCTCCCGTGCCTTGCTCAGCCAGTGAGCGGGAACCGGTCTGTATGTGGGATCCGAACCCTCGGTGGGAGAGCCGCCGCGCTTCCCAAGCGGCGCACTATCGCAGTGCGCCACCGGGCCGGCCCCTCTTTGCTGTAACTTTTACCTCCAAAATCTGAGCTTCTCGGGTTGTGGAACCAACAGCAGCTTCTCATTGGTATCCCCCTTGCAGTCTCTTTAGATTGCAACTTCCTCTGTTCAGCTCAGTCATATTCCATCTGCTTTCTCTCTGCCAGAGAGTTTTTGAAATTGCTCATCTATTGCTGTCTCCTCTCTACCCTTTTGGGGTCATTTCTCTACAAAATTGTTTTTTAGATTATATGGTAAACTTTACCTTTTTTCTGTAGCATACAGTTCTGTGAGTTTTAACACCACGATAGGATACAAAATAGTACCATTCTCCTGCTCTTTCTCAAAACTGTACTATACTATCTCTTCATAGTCACCCCTCTCCCCACTCATAACTCCTGGCAACCACTGATCTGTTTTCCATCCCTGTAGTTTTATTTTCTACAGTCTTATAAGTGGAATCATACCATATATAACCTTTTGAAACTGGCCTCTTTTATTCAGCATGATGTCTTTGAGATTCATCCAAGGAGATATGTCTGTTAATAGTTTTTCTCATACCTTTTTGATTCTTTTTATTTATTTTACTGGAGTGAGGGGTAGGGGAGATAAACTCTTCGAACCAATCCTCTATCTTAAACCAGAAACACCTTGAAGAAAATTATACTCCCCACCTTTTGGTGATTTTATAACATTCTTTTAAAAATCTTAAAAGACAAACGTTATGTACTTCAAGTGATATTAATAGGAGCTTATCTGGTTGTATATCACAAGCTTTTGTATCCAGGGTAAGTGGAAGAAAATTGAATTTACCATATATCCTTTCAAGACTGATATGCTACTTTGTTTCAGGCACCAGAAATGCAGGAGAAATAGCTTTAAAAATATATGTAAAATTGCACTTGAGCCCAGCCTCCTTGAGAATCAGTGGTTTTAAATAATTAATCCCTGGGGTGTGTTGTCTTTCCTTTTCAAGACAAAGTTTGTAAAACAGTATGTAGTTTACATTTTATTGTCATCTTCAACTTTAGTCAGGCCTTCACCTCACACTTGCACTGCACTTTGTTCACTGTCACCTGTTCTGAAAGATGGAGTAGGAAGAATATGGGTTTTAGAAGCAGGCCGATACGGCTTTTATACTTAACAAACTGTATCTTCAGATTGCTTAATCTGCTAAACCATTTGCCATTTCCTTGTCTGTAAAATAGGGATTTCAATACCCACTTGACAGATTTTGTTTTGAGGAATAAGAGAAGTGACAGATGAAAAGCACTTAGCACAAAGTATAGAAAAATAGGCACTCAATGATCAATTCCCATTCCTTTTTGTTAAATCAAGTGAATTCTCCCTTATCGATCTTTTTGCTCCATTTGACGGTGTTTCCCTTCCCTCTCCATCCTTAGCATTTGGCTTCTGTGGATAGCTATCTGTTTCTTAGTCTCCTTTGTAATTCCTTTATATGACTTATGCTCACCATATAAAATGTTGAGAGTTCTTGAGATTATGTTCTGTGCCCTTTTCTCACTTTTCACATACTCCCTGTACAATCTTATGTTCCTTATTTCTACTACCATCTTTACACTGACTTCTCTATCTTTTCTTGTGCCTTGAAATCTCTCTTGAGCTCGATTGTTTACTATTTTTCTCTTAAGAAATGAAGATTAATTGATTAGGTTAATAATGAATTAATCTAAGTTAATAAGGCTGAAACAGGAATCATCCCACACTAACATGGGGTGTCTCATATTCCTTGATATAGTGATTGGTATGACCTTATAAGTTAAGCCGGAAACCGTAGCTCTCCTCTCCAGCTGCGCAATCCAATAAGTCACTAAATTCTGTTGATTTTTGAAGGTACGTCCTCTTAGTTGGCTCTCTAATGCATACCCTTATATATATCCTCCTATCTACTTCTCTTTTGCTGCTGATTCAGTTCTGGTTTTCCTTCTTCCTTGGATTACTAGAAGAGCCTTCTAACAGACTCTCTGGCTAGGCCTAGTAGCTCGTGTTCAATCCAGCTTTTCACTACAACTAGAGTGATCTTGAAATAGAGTTCTGATTTTAAGGTTTTCTGCTTAAACCTTTAAATGGCCCTAAGGCTCCCTCAAGATAATACTTAAATTCATCATTGAGATCCACCTTTGCCCCCTCACCTCCAACTCTGTTTCCATGCCACTCCTCCCACCTGCCCCTCCCACTGCTCCACAACAACATCCTTGAATGTAAAATAATAATAATAATACTATATTAAGAATAAAAGAAAGAAATCTGCCTTCCAGCGTTACCTCAATCCTCCATTTGTCCTTCTGCCAAGCCAAACTATTTGCAATTCCCCAAGACATCTGTGCACCCTCTCTTCTTTGCCTCTGCATATGCTATACAGTCTTCTTTTCTGTTGATTTATTTCTCTTTACCCAACCTTTTCTCCCAATAATAATAGCTAGCATTTATTGAGTTATCTCATTTAATCTTCACAGCTACTCAATGATGGTGAATACTATTATCTTCATTTTAAAGATAAACAAACTGAGATATAAATGGATTATGTAAGTTGCCTTCAGTCACTATTAATAAGTGACAGATTCGTGATCTGACTTTCAGGTTCTTAACTACAAACAATATATTTTTTTCTCTTTTTTGGGAACGTATTTATAGATGGAATGATCCAGTAAAAAGGGGGAGATTGTACTGAACTAAGTGACATGCACATAAGGATCTACATGTATGTTAGGATCTATTTAATGTGAATCCTTTGTTCTTTTTTGGACAGAATCATAAATATCCTAGATCTGTCATCCAATACATATCATTAATTCATCTGTTGGTGAGAACCCCGTTTAAGCAGTCTAGGGGATTGGTAAGAAATTCATATAATCTCTACACTTGAGAAATTTACAATCTAGTTGGCTAAATGGAGAAAACAATTTTAAGAAGTTCAAATTACAGACAATCCACTTAAAAAAAAATTCCCACTCCTTAGCTATTGGCAGGTGGTAGTTGTGCTCAAAGATTTGGTTACAGTGGGTAGAAAACCAGGTCTTTTCAGTCCCAATCTAAGACATGAACTGGGTATTTATAAACCCTTGGTGAGGAATAAAATTTGTACTGGGACAGGTAACATGACGGACCATTAACAGACAGTAGATTGTGGAGAAGAAAACCCCAAGGATTATAAAGAATAATTTTAATGTTAACTAATTTTTATCCACACATTTCACTTTGCTGAACCTATGTATCGTTAACTTCTATTTGAAATGGCAATGGAATAATTTGTAAGAGTTTGAGAAAAGGTGGAAAGATTTATTATACAGGCCAGATATTTTTATTTGTAAACACTTGAGGGTGAGCACGGGAAATAAAGGCACTTGTCGTGGGGATTATTTTAAGACTGATGCAATATACACCGACAGCCTTTCTGTACGACAAAATATGGCTATGCTTCGCAACAACAATCATGGAATGTAGTACCCTGTACCTAAGACAGCAAATCTTAAGAGTCCTGATTTACTTTACCATTTCTTGTCTCCCCAATTAATTCCTTTTTTCAGCGTTTCCCCCAGACTCGGGAATCGAGCGAAACGCGCCCACAATTTCGGGACACTGTGGAAGAGCTTCTTGCATGGGAAACTCCAGCATCTGAACGTACAAGAAGATAAAAATTGTTATCCCGACACAGCTCTTTCCAGAATATTCTCTGCACAAGGAACAATTACACCCCCACAAGTTTCTTCGGTGGGAAAAAAACTGCATTCGTGTAAGAGCAGTTTTCCTTTTTGTTTTGTATTTCATCCAGCTTCAAACTATAGTTCGGCCAACCCAGTGCTCTTTCAGCTTCTAAAATAGCGGCTCAAAGTTTCCTCAGTGTTACGCATTCTCGTTCAAGACGCACACACTAATTTTCTACGGCATCCTGGTCTCAGTTAATTTTATCTAAGCTTGTAAAAAGAGTACGTTTTTAAAACGTCACTCCCTGTCTCTCTAGTCTCAAAAATCGTTTGCTTTTACCCAGCCTTGGCGCCATGGGCCAGCCGCCTGAAACGTCAGGAAGGAGATCACCGGCCAGAGACGGTGAGGCGGCTAGAGCGGCCAGAGCCGTACTGCCGCTCTCGCTTTTCTTTTGCTCTCTATGGTTAGGAGCGCAAGCCCCTCCTCCGCCCGAAAGGTTTTCTGTTCCTCGACGCTTGCGCAAGGCCAGTAGGTAGTTCCGGTTCCGGCGTGAAGATTTCCGTTTACTGTGTTCGGTTGTCGCAGTTGGTGGGCAGTAACTGAGCAAAGATGCTGCGGAGTCTGCCGGTGAGGAACTTATGCGTTTTCATTCGTGATGGGGCTTGAGAGGGGAGGCTAAGGGACCACATCAGAAAACCCTCTCTCGGAAGGGGAGGGGAGGCATGCAGAAGTCGGCTTCTGAAGTCACCTTGGTCCGTGTCCTTTTCGACTGACCTTCCTCTACCTTCCATCTATTCCTCTCGTCCGAGGCCGTTGCTGGGTAGATGTAGGGAGTGAAGAAGCTGGAAATTGTCGATTAGACCTATTTTTGGTTCTTAGTCACCACCCCTGACCATGTGGGTCGTTGATGAAGTTATTAGCTCAGATATGAGTAAAACCAAAGTCTAGGTGGGGAGTTTCTGACATCCTCAAGTGCTAGGCAGGAAGGTGTCCCTCTGGCACTAAAGGTTTTAAGTTTGAATGGTTCTGAGCTTTGTGAGCATTAGAAAGTTTAAAACCATGTTATTCGATTTCGGATGGGATTAGTAGTTGTGGCGGAAGTGCGGTGTTGCTTCCATTAGGCCATTCTGCATTGCCCTTCACCCCTCCCTCCATCAGCTTTGAGCATATAAAGTATTCTTCCAGAATTTAGAAAAAAGAAAAGGAAAATGTAACTGATTATTTTCCTTTGTAATTATTCAATGAAGTTTTCCTTAGCTGCTTAGTATTACTTATTTTAGAAACTGGAGTGCGTATTTGATTATTTAATTTAACTAGGTATGTAATACAAGCCTCTTTTTAAAAACTATTAAAAATTTATTAGGAGAAACGTAAAGAGGGTAGCATTTTAATTAAGTAGGAATCATGCCAGTGTACTTTACTGCCAAGTAGTAGATTTTTAATAATCTGGTAGGGTATTAAATGAGAACGTTTGACCTTAATGTATTTTGGTTAACCGTTTATTATTTCTGTAATATGTGTATATCAATACTTTTTTCCCTCAAGAATTATAAAATGCTACTTGGTTCAGTTCAGAGATCGTAATTTTTGGGGAGGTTAGAATCTGCATGAATTGCTTCTTGAATATGGTTTCTGGAGACTGCAGAATGTAATATGAGGAGCTGAAGATGGACAGCAAATTGGAAAACGTGGATGCTGGCCATGACTTTGCTTCTGACAAATCAGATATGCTTTAATCAGATATGCTTCCCCCTCCCCCCCTTTTCTATAAAACAAAGGATTGAAAATAGTCGGTTTTGAAGTCTTCTTTAGGCTCTAAATCTATTTAATATATGCAGATTTTTCATTTCAGGTTCTTCGTCAGATTGCCCAGAGGACCATAAGCACTGCTTCACGGAGGCATTTTGAAAATAAAGTTCCAGAAAAACAAAAGCTGTTTCAGGTACTAAATATTTTACAGGAGATTGTTACTTGTCATAGTTAGAGTACCAAAAGATGGAGTAGGAAGTAAATCTGGAGATCTCTGATTATTGGTGATTCTGTTGTATTAGCAAAAGAATAGTAAAAAACTGCCTATTGCTACCTTACTGTGCATTTGCTATATGCAAGAGTCTCTTGGGCAAGCAGAAGGAAATGAGGGAAAAAGGGTATGGGTAATGATAAATTTTTTTGGAGGAGTTTATGATGCATTGGCATTCTTTGGGGTAGTTGCACAGGAATAGACAAATAGACCATGGATCTTTCCAGAAACAATAAGTATGTAGAAATTTAATTTATATTAAAGATGCTACTTCATATCAGTGGGAAAGGATACAATAAGTTGGCTTGGAAAAATTGGCTCATTTAAAGAAAGTAAAGTTAGATCCCTTCTATATAGTATACAAAGAAAATAGTTTGGAGATATAAATATTTCCCCCTCAAAAAAAATTAAAGAAAATGTAGGAGAATATTTTTTTAATCTTAGGGGTGGGGAGGTCTTCTAAAGAAGTCTTTACAAAGCCAAGACGCTGTGAAGGAGAAAAACTGCAAGGTCTAGTGACATAAAAATTTTAAATTTATAGTCACAAAAGAAAGTGACAAATTGAGAGCAAATGTTCAAAATATAACAAAAGGTTAATGTCCTTAGTACATAAAGAGCTCCCCCCAAATCAATAAGAAATGTAAATTAAAATGACAGGTTACTATGCATCCCCCCATTTGATTGGCACAATTTAAAAAAGATTTTAAAAAGGTTATGTTTACCAGGTATGGAAGATTGGTACACTCATGCATGGTACTTTCATACACACTAAGTAGTATGATTGGTACAAAAGTTTTGGAGGGTATTTGAGAGTATCATTAAAAACAAACCACATACCCTATCATAACAAAATCCCCAATAACCGAAAATTCTGTTATGGTATTTTTGTACTATGGAATGCTATATAGCCATTGAAAGGAACAGGTAGGTTTAAGTGGACTAACAGAATGGTTTTTAAGGTAGTATTGAGTATTAAATAGTACATGGCATACCATTATTTCATTTTGTGTATGAAACAAGCATGTGTATTAATAATGATATAAACATTAAAAAATAGTCAAGGATGGGTACTATACCATAAATAATGGTTATCTCTTGGGGAAAGACTTAGTGGAGCAGAGCAATTTACCTTTATAAGTTATTACATTATGAGTAATTTTTTCTTTTTTATTTTTTGGCAGCTTGCCAGAACAGGGATCGAACCCTGGACCTTGGTGTTATCAGCACTATGCTCTAACCAACTGACCTGACTAGCTAATCCTTGATTTTTGTTTTACTGTGATGTCTAGTTTTTCCCAAATAAAATCTCAAATGATAAATGTTGTATAATATACCACATAAAAATAAAATGCTTTACCAGATGTGCTAAGTATCCACTATATAAGCCAGATGCTAGACTAGATGCTATGGATATAATTTCAGGTTATAAACCAAAATTCCCTACTGCCTTTTTTAAGGGAAAAAAAAATCGTTCCTGTGACTAAATCTAAAGTGCAACAATTATTGATTCTTTTATATTTAAGTTGTCGAAGGCAATGAGTGTATTTTATAGGTTTAATGTTTATATATTCCTTGGAAAAACCATCTTTATTGGACCTCAAATTAACTTTGAGATAAGAATGCTGACTTTTAGGAGTTCTTATTTTAAAATTGGTACTAGAGAAAGAATCAAGAAAACTAGGTTTTTAGAATTTTGATATTTAAAATATTTTAATTCCAGGGGTTTAAGGAACTATTTCATTTTATATGAATAATTAGTCTTTTGAAATTTAACTTAGTTTGAAACAAGTGACACATCTATTAATGTCTTTTTTTTTTTAAAACCTAGGAGGATAATGGAATTCCAGTACATCTAAAGGGTGGGGTAGGTGATGCCCTCCTGTATAGAGCAACCATGATTCTTACAGTTGGTGGTAAGGCATTTGGAATGTTTGAAGGTTTATAGAAAAGTAATAATAATGGTAACTAACAACATGATTGCTTTTGCTATGCCAGTATTTCAGTACAGGCCTATGTCTCCAGAATCTGACATCTTACTGCATCTCATGTAAGGATTCAAGAGGGTAATTAATGTATAAGAGCATTTTGATGTATTTATAGAAAAAATACACCAATACAGTTTGATGATGATCTTATGATGGAGGTGGCTATCTGAGTGTACCACTAGTGGCTCTGGAGGCTGTTTTTCAGCCAAAAACATCTACTCTGCTCTACCTCCTAAAGCAGGGACTTTTAAACATTTTGACTATGGTACATAATAAAAACACATTTTACATCTAAATCGCATATATACATATTTATGACTGGAATAAAACTTGTACAGAACAATATGTTTATCATATGCAAAGTGCTTTGATATTTTTCTGTGGATTAGGCAGGTCCTTTGTTGGTATTAGCAGTGGCACGTCATAAATTGGTGTAGTAAGAACATAGTTAGGAATTTGAATGATTGGTTTCTCGGGAAGGAAGGGAAACATTTGAGTGATTGTATGTACCCATCATATTGATAGGAGTGCCACATTCTTGGATTTCTATAACACTTGCATGAAGTCTGTAATGTATCCTCATTTTAAAGATGAGGAAATTATACTAATTACCCAAGATAATATTGCTTCTATGTGGAAAAGCTGGGATTTGAGCCCTAATTACAGAGTTTCCCTGCTCATGCCAAGGTGCCTTTTGGCTTAAGTTGAATATCCTTAAATTAGAAGGGGCATTATGGATCAAGACAACAAATAATGACATTTGGGCTTTCTTAACAAGATAAGGTATTAAATTCTTTTCTGCCAATGTGATTGTTTCTTGGCATTCTAGTAATTAGTTTTAAAATAAAATTCCAGGTATTAGCTAGTTTTATATTAAATTTGATTATTTTAAAATTATGTTATTTTCTCTTGAATTTACATTGATAAAACCACTTTAGGGAAGGTAGCATATTTTGACCTTTTTATTTTGGCATTTCTCAAGCAACCTTAGGTTAATATGGAAATAATTTGTATGTATGTTCTTAATCTTATTTTTAAAAAAATATACATGTTATTAAGTTGACAAATACATTGTTATGCTATATTTAGCACTTTCTATAGAAATTAATATTAAAACTAGATTAAATGTATTTTACATATATTTATTTAAAACTTTTCCAGCACCTATAAAAATATTGTTTTTGTGTTCCTATTAAAGTAGTCTCAATGCCAATCCTGCCTTTATGTTGTAAGTATTGAGCTAGAATATTAGGTTTATACATTTAAATCTCAGAATTTCTTACAAGTTTTTTTTCCGCCCCCTCAGGAACAGCATATGCCATATATCAGCTGGCTATGGCTTCATTTCCCAAGAAGCAGGCTTGACTTTGGTCATCCCAGCAATCAATTGGTTCATCTTCATTCAGCTCTATGGACCAGTAATGTGATAAATAACTGAGCTTTTTGGGGATCAGTATTTATTGACTTGTACTAACTGCAACTAATAAAGCAGTCTTTACCATGCTTTGTCTGACTTTATCACTTTAGAATACATTACACCAATAATTTCTGCTGTTGCTCATCCTTGTAAATCTTAGATGAGGAGTGAAAAAATGATTTTTTTTGTCATCAAGCTTGTATAAAGCACCATTATTTTGATATTATTTTACTGAAGTTTACTTTTAGCAGCTCAGAAGAATACAGTGGGTGGTCTTCAATTTCAATTGAGCATAACACTTGAAAGAATGTTGCTTTCTCCTTTCTCTATATTCTGGGGTATGATAGAAACTGGGGGTAGTAGAAGTAGGTTATTTTTGGCTTCTGGAGTTTGAGATTTTTTTTTCTCCCTCAGCTGTGTGAGTGTGTTTAAATATTCAATGTATTCCACAGCTTAGAATTAGGCTTTTAGTAGAGTGAGTGGCTGTAAAATAATTCAATATTACTTTTTTTCTCACTTGGGTTGGGCCTTTATTATGTTACTTTAATTCATAACATAAAGTGTAAAATGCTTAGGTCATTTCTAAAAGTTATCTTCTAGGGGAATATAGGGAGTCAAATTTTGTTTTTCATCTGCATGGTGTACTTTGGGATTGCTACATGAAGATTGGAATCTAGCTTTGTCAAATCTAGGGGAAATTGATGAGTAAGGGTTTTATAAAGTTTAATTTCTAGATAAAATTCACAAAAGTATATTTGGAAAAATTGAGTCAAGTCTGAAGTAGCCAAGTTAAGCTTTTTGCTATCAAAACATTGAGGCTTATGGTACAAATTTCTCAAAAAGTAACCAATTAATGATATTTTAGCCTTGAACCCTGAAGGTTGTAAAGGATCTTGGTGGCCATATTATCTTACCTGCCAGCTTTTGAAGGGAGTGTAATAAACATTGTTAGACATTTCTAAACGCTGAGAAAGTTCTTAAAAGTTGGTCTGGAATCTGGTCCAGTTCAGTGCTCCAGAGCTCAAAACTACTGATAATGTTTTGAAACGAACTATGTCAGCATTGTACAAAGGAGAATTTAGGTAACTTATAAATATGATGTAAAATGCCTTTATGACATGATGTGAAAGATAGTTTTGTAGCAGAAAGGAAAAACAGCTTGATGTCCTGTACAACTTTTATCTCTCAATATTGTGAGAAGTGCTTTACTATATCTGGTGTAACCTAGTGAAACAATGTATGAAACATTTCTGGTAAGTTTTTTATGCCAAAATGTTCTTTTTGGGCTATGTTCATGTGGTGGGATTGGATAAATTAAAATTAGGTTAAATGTGTAAGGTACCTTAAAAATTTTTTAAATAAACTCTAAGATTAACTACTTGCCCTTCACCCTAAAATTCTGTAAGCAAGGGTGGAGTGTAGTGATGTGGGTAAGAGGCAAGATCCCAGAAGAGGGTTTGCTGGACAAGAATCCCATGAAAATATCTAATGCTTTGTAAGTATTCAGTAAGAGATACTGTTATTGATAGATTCAAAGACTAGCCTAAAGTCCAAGGATAAGAGTCCTTAAGAAGTATTGCAATTGCAGCCTTTAGGTAATCTTTACCCACAACACTATCCTTTTTGAGAATAGTATGTTACTAAATGGAAGAAATTCCATGATCATGCTATACCATTAATATAAACACCATTGGAGATCGATTTAAGTGAAATCTTGTTATAATTATTATTATGTTCAAAATTGCCTTTGTAGTCTGTAGCTGTTCTAGATGAAGTTATTATTAAACTGGATTTACAGATGAAAAACTAAATCTCATGCAATTTATTCAAGGCTAAAATAGATGGCAGCACAAGATTTCAAGTCCATTTTTAACCAATTCGAAAAGCTCAGTCTTTCCAGTATAGTGCTTCATCTTACCAGATGTTTTATTAAATATTGGCTGGGCTAGCTTCACTACACTATTAATAGCAATGTGTGCAAGTATGGATACCCTACAGACTTCATCTGCCTGGTACAGTCAAGCTTCTTGAAAGAGTAGTACTGTCCGGTTCCGTTATTCAGTTTCACAGTGATCTCTATAATTTGCCATCTATCTACCCATTTAGTTTGCTCCATCTTTTCTTCCACCTTATATTTGAAATCCAAACTCAGCACTGACCATATTCTGCTTTTTTCTGGTGTATATATCCTTATTCTTGACACTTGGGAAAGCTCTCCAGTCTGCTGGAACCTTAGGCATTCTGTCTTATTCAGACATGCTTCAAACGTTTTCTGTACTCTTCATCAAGAGTTTTTCATCCTTTGAGTTATAATTGTTGACAAGACCAAGAACCAATATAGCCTTGTAATTATCCACACAGGTGATGGAGTTAGAAGACCTAGCTTCAAACCTTGGATTACCATGGGTAGCTAACTTTGGTAAGCCTGTATCCTCATCTGTATGTGTGGGATAATACCTAATGCACGTGGTTATTCTAATGCATATAAAACATAAGGAATGGTTTCTGGCACATAGGAAATGTGCAATAAATAATTGTTACTCCTATTGTTAGCTCTAAGAGCAGAAACTTCTTTTCATCCCATATCTCCATCAATTTACTTGGTACAGAGCAGGGACTATCCTGTGGCCAGGGCTGGTAGGGCAGGTTCACAATTTTATCCATGTACTACTGGGTAACTCTTATTTTGTCCTTGCAAGATGGCTGCCTCGGCTCCAGCTATCTCATTCATGTTCCAGCAGTGAGAAGGAGGAGGGGTGAAAGAGCACATGCTATATGAGTGAGCTCTCTTGTTTTTGTTTTATTGGGGTTTTCTTGGTGGCTGGCCAGTAAGAAAACCCAAACCTTTGACCTTGGTATTACCAGCATCACACTCTAATCAACTGACCTAACCAGCCAGCCCTGTGAGCTTTCTTCAAAGTCCAACACAAAGCTTCAGCTTTATCTTTTTGGCTGTAATTTTGTCACATGGTCATGAGTGATTAAAGGAGGCCAAGAAATGCCTTAGCTGGGCATATTGTCAAGCAAAACTGAGGTTGGGTTTAATAAAAAAGGGAGACTGCCTGTTGAGTTGGCACTAGCAGTTTTTGCCCAGTTTGTTTTTTAAATGAATGAAATTAACATACAAAGGAGACAGGACCTAGAAGCATTTTGAGTTCTAGCTCTAATTGTTTGGGGTACCCAGATCCATGCCTGTTCTTATGGCTTGGTTGGATTCCATTGGTCAATAACTTGACCACTTTGCTTAAGTTCAGGTAGGTTTCTCTAGCCAGGAACAAACCAAGGCAGGGTTTTGTTGGTTTCCCAGCTATCATACCATCTGATGTAACCCTAACTCTACCATTTACCCTAAATGGTAGTCAGGTGCTTAATAAATGGTAGCCATTACTGGTTTCTCGTAACAGATAGGAATGTTTTAAAAGGATCTTAGGGAACACAAAATGCAAATAGATACAGAGGATACAAGAATTATAAAAACAAGAATTATGATGCTATCATAGGCAGTTTGGTTCAGGATTGCAGAACCCTTTCTACTGTCTGAGATAGCTATGCACGAAGCTGGAAATTCCACAGGCATCCAACTTGGTGATCTCTCTTCCTGGGTCCTGGTATGTGTCCATGTGGCATAACATCTTGTGAACCACTACCCAGGACTTTGCTTTTATTTATATATCAACATTAATCACTCAAGTCAACAGATATTGAGCACCTACTGTGTACTAGACACTGTTCTATGTGCCTGGCAATCACTGGTGAGCAAAATAAGCAGATTCCTGCCCTCACAGAGTTTACATTGTAATGAAGGATGACAGGGAAGACAGTTTCTACAAAAACAAATCAAATGGTATGTTAGAAGATACTAAGTTCATCCATGCATCTACCCATCCATCCCATGACAACTTATCAAAAATATACTTTGTATAAAGCACTGTTCTAGGCTCAGAGAATACAACCGTGAACTAGACCAACAAGCTCCTTCATGGGGCTTACATTCTAGTCAGGGGAGATACACAAGTGAATTAATTCATAAGCATAGTAATGGTGGCAGCTAGTGGTAACTGCAGATCAACATTGTAACCTATTAGGAGAAATAGTATGGTGGAAGCTAGAAAAGGGCTCAGAGTAAGTGACATTTGAACTGACACCAGAAAAAAAGAGCCACCTAAAAGTTAAAAGAAAAGCATTCCAGGGAAAGGGAAATTATTCTGTATGGTTGAATTACAGAAAGAAGACCAGTGTTGGATCATAGGGAGCTGGAGAAAGCAATTGTTATCTCTTCTCCAAGTGACTAACACAACAAATAGCCATACTGAGAAAATACAGTTAGAGAGAGATCAAACATACAACAACTACATTTTATCCAGACTTCAGACCTAGATCTGTCTTATTCTGAAGTCCATTATTTATCTACTATGTATCATGATACTTCCTAGATGAGGAAAAAAGAGAAAAAAAGTACTTAGGACAACTTTACCAATTGGTTCCTGTAATGGATTGAATTGTGTCCCTCCAAAGTTTAATGTGTTACAGGCTTGGTCCCCACTGTGACAGTGTTAAGAGGGTGGGAAATCCTATTGTGGTAGTTGAAAGGTGGGACCTGGAGGGGGTGATGTGACTGTGAGAACCATACCTTAGTAAATGAATTAATAAGTTGATTTAATGGTGGTTGGAATCATAATTCTAAAGGCTTTAACATAGGAGAGCACAGGGCTGGCCTATGGCTCACTTGGGAGAGTGTGGTTCGGATAACACCAAGGCCACAGGTTTGGATCCCCATATAGGGATGGCTGGTTAGCTCACTTGGGAGAGCGTGATGCTGACAACAAGTCAAGGGTTAAGATCCCCTTACCGGTCATCTTAAAAAAAAAAAAAAGAGTGCATGAAGAACTCTCTCTCTCTCAGTTCTGCCATTCTGCTATGTGAGACCCCTGCATCACTGTCACCACCCCCAAGTCCTTCACCAGATGTGTTCTCTGAACTTCGGACTTCCCAGGCCTCTGAAACCATGAGCAATAAATTTTGTTTTCTTCCCAGTGCCCAGTTCTAGGTATTTCGTAATAAGTAACAGAAACAGACTAATACAGTTCCCCTGCAGACTTCATTCTCTTTGGACACTGTAGTGTGACTGGTTATGTTTGAAGAATTGGGCATCATAATAACTGGACTTTTTTTTTTTTTTTTTTTTGAGCCTGGCCAGTACATGGGTAGAGCCCTGGACCTTGGTGTTTTCAGCACCATGCTTTAACCAACTGAGCTGACCACTAGCACTTTCTTTCTTTATTTGGCAATTTCTTATTCTCTCTCTTCTCTCAGATTCATGTGAATCTGACCATGTGACTGCTCCAATTGTCTATCTATATTATAAATTATAGCAGCTTCCTCAAGTCAAGGATATTTTGAAGAACTCACTATTTAATGAGGAAACCCAGTCAAAACCCAAGACATTTCCTAGATTTTTAGTATAATACACTAGAAGAAAGAAATGATTAATTGTTTACATTTAGATTGCTTTGAAACTAGAGAACTGCCTACTGAAATGGTAATTTCAAAGCATACCGAAGTCAGCTAAAGGAAGGGAAACTCATAATATTAGATTTTGCAGATTTAGTGTATGTACATAACTTTGGAATTGAGTATTGATTTCCAATTATATATGTGCTATTAATATAATGAAAGATGGGCTGTTTCTTGAATTCTGAGATTATGTTATATCTTTATTGACTTTTTGTAGGAGGCCATCATCTTTCCTCTGGGGATTTGCTAAAAATATCCTCTGCCATTAATTTCTGATGGTGAAAGGCTGATGTCCTTGTTTGCCTTTGTTATTTTTCTTTCAAATTTTACCTTAATTAATACAATTAACTAAAACAGTCCATGGCCATTAATGTTTGGATACTCTTCCCACAGTGCTTTTTCCTAGAACAGAATGTGCTTTGGGAAATCAATATGCAATGAACCATCTTGACTGTTTTTGTCATAAAAACATCTTTACAGGTGGTCATTTCCTCACCTTAATTCTATCCTAATGACCATCAAAATGATTTTTTTAAAGGATTTCTTTCCACTTTAGTTGGAGCATAGTAAAAAGGAATACAGCAGGAAGTTCCTATCAAAAATAAGGAGCTAGGAATCTCTTTTTTTGTACACAAATTTCCATATTTATCAGGGTCTGCTGCTGAGTAACCCAGTGCTTAGGCCACAGAAGCACTCAAAGACAACTCTGACATTGAATATAATCAAAGAAATCTCATGGAGACTACACTACTGTACTCATCCAGAACCAAACCTACAATACCCTACCCAAATGACACTGTAGAATACATCTACAGGAAAGAGTCTCCCCCTTCAAAAGCTACTCCAGAAAAAATTTAAAAATAAAATAAAATAAATAGGGGCAGACTGGTTAGCTCAGTTGGTTACAGTGCAGTGATGTAATACCAAGATCAAGGTCAAGGTGGGTTTCTGTACTAGCCAGCTACCAAAAAAAAAAAAAAAAAAGAAGAAGAAGAAGAAGAAATAAAGAAATAATTTTTTTTTAAATAGAAGGAAGAAAGCTACTCCAGGGAATTAGAAGAAGCAACTGTTCTACCAGATGCCCAGACATCAACATAGGGATATGAGAAACATTAGAAAAACAAACAACAACAACAACAAAACAAGGAAAAATGACACTACCAAAGGAATACAATAATTTTCCAGTACCAGACCACAAAGAAAAGGAAATGTATGAAATGACTGAAAAGGAATTCCAAGAGGAATATATAATCCTATAGAAATGTGGGGCCGGCCCGGTGGCGCACTGCTAC